GTCTGGGCCTTTCAGAGAACTCCAGACTACAGCTGTGGTTGGGGCAGAAGAAAAAACGTGGAGGAAGAAAAGGCTGGCCTTGGGCCTGTCACTCCTGACTTTGGTCAGAGAAACTCTCCTCTCATTTAATTTATTTATTACCTGTATGTATGACTTTTCAATCTGGAAAGAAGATTTTGCTTTTTAAGTGTGTAAGTGAATTTTATCATTGGATGTCCTTCATCCAATAAATACAGGCAAACTTCAGTTCTCGAATGTCCTGGTTCTCAAACATTTTGGTTCTCAACAAAGTTGTTCATGGAAAAAAAAGAATATCCGTTGTCTAACAAAGCTTCTGGTCTCGATTCCCTACCTAACAGCCCTTTCATGCTGATACCGCTGTGATCAGTCACGTGTCTGCCAGGTGATTCAGTTATCGAACAAATCACCTCAAACAATCTTCTGGAACAAATTAAGTTCAAGAACTGAGGTTCTGCTGTATTTTTTATTTTTTGAGCATCTATGATGTTCTAGGTACTATGCCAGCCCTGGAAGCTGCCAAGATGTGTAAGTCTTCCTGCTAGTGTAGCGTTTCAGGTGCAATTAAAGAGCTTAAAGACAGTGCTATAGGACCAAGTGGAAAACATCAGCTTAGCACTAGTTTGGGGAATGATTTCACAAATGAGAAAACTGGGATCTAGAAAGTTTAAGTGACTCATGCAGAGTGGCACAGGTAGGGGCACAGGTAGTGACCCATACTGCCAACTATGTACACAGATGCTCCCTGCTCTGACCCGTGCTGCTTCCAAAAAGAATGGGATCCACACACCAAAACTCACTCTTTACATCCTTTAAACACTTGTAATCTGATTTATGTCTTCACCACTGTGTATTCCCAAGGTCTAATAGAAGGGACCCAAAAAATGTTTCATTTTTTTCAGACATTGAGAGGAAGTAAGGAGAAGAAAATTACTTTGAAGGTAGTTACCTAAATCAATACACACACACACCAACATGGTTGAAGATGGGAACTAGGTATAAGATACTGGGAAGACCTGATTAATATGCATAAATGAGATTAAAAATAGGGACATTACATTATCCTTCCAATGCCAGCATCATGTGTTTTGGCAAATAGGCCGTTCTGCTGATTTTTATACTATAATAAGAATGTAGTGAACATGCAGATATTTTCAGTGGCCAAGCGAGAAAGTGCTTTTTTTCCACAGACGTATACTTTCTGCGGACAGAACAGCATTTTTTATTTTGGTAGTTTCCCACACTTTGATTTTCAGCATCCCACAGGATTGTAAAACACATTCAACATTTTTATATTGGAGTGAACATATTTTTGGCTCTAAAAGTATTCATTTTGGTTCAGTTCATAGCTGTATGGAAAGACGTATGAACTTGAACTTCCTTTAAAGAATATAGCCATGGATTACTTGGATACTGATATGTAATCTAGTTTTGGAAAAAATGTAATTTATTGCTAACTCTGATTTTAACTTTTTAAAAATCACTGTGTTATATCGATTTAGGAGAGGACTGAGTACATGCAAAAAACTGGCCTGGAACTTGATGTTCTCCTGAGAGGAATAAAGTATAATTTAAATATTAAAGTCATTAACCCCAATATTTCTAAAAGATAAAATAGACATAATACAAGGTCCCTGCATTTGATTTTTCTAAGCTCCAAATATACTTTGCAAATTTTGAATGAAACCATAACTCCTTTAAAAATACAAGTAATTCAAGTCCAATTAATCACACATTTCCCTCTAGATTGCTTTCAGACAGGGCACATTCCTAGGACATTAATTTAAGCTTTCATTGATTCTATAAGTAGAATGAGCACATAAAGTGTGGCTTTGTAAAGCAATAGCTAAGCCAATGTGATGTTAGTCCATTGCAGTGAAACTATGATTTTGTATTAATAGAGATATTACAGTTCTTATTTCTATTCATATGGTAGTAAAATTATTTTTTAAAATATATTTTACATATCCAGTTGAACCTAAAGAAGATTTTTAAAATAATTTTATTTAGATCTACCCAATATGTTCCTCTTATATTTTAACTTTTTTTCTCAAGGTGCTGCCTGTATTTGCAAACAGAGTGATGGATGAACTTGCTCAACTTTAGAGAACTCCATCACCAACTGAGGTCATCCTTCTATTTCTCAAAAAGAGCTCCTAAACATCAGAACAAATTTTGGACCAAGTGACCAACCCAAAGATTTCATTGTAGTCAAGGCTAAATAAGACAGATGAGTAAGATACGGAGCTATGCTTCCATTATGCAAAGCACAAAGAAATTCTCAGCTTGAGGCTGGTACAACATTCCATGACAACGCGTCAATTATCTGGTGAATTTGATCAACACAGACAGTGCCAGGGGATATTTCAGGCTCTGAAGATGAAAGCAAGAAGGAACTCAGCTATTCTGCTTTGCACTTTCCATCAGTCTTGTCTTGCTCTTCGTGTTTTTCCTACAGAAGATACACATTTAATGGCAAACCTTAAATTACCAACAGCTCTGGCAACACCTACTGGAATGGCTTTGTGTTTACGAACAAAACTGGAGAAACAACAAAAAATGGCTGCTCATCACAAAGGAGTAAAACGCATGTTTCTCACAAGGAATGATTTGCACGCGGCTCTCACTGCTCACAGCGGAGGCTGTGAGTGGTGCCTCACCGCACCTCCTGAGCCACATTATTTTTCAGCCACAAAACGTGTTGTATGTACATTTGCTTAGAGATGGATCAGAGTCCTCTTGGCAAAGCTAATGAAGCTGTGTTTCCCTAAAACATACACCTTGCAAGCTAAATATACCTCCCTAAAGAAAATAGACCTTTTCTAAAGGAAAGAAAAAGATGTTTGTGTCTTAGACACTGGGTAGAAAAAAATAGAACAAACATACATATCTAAAACTAAGGTTTGGAAAAAAAAAGTCCAGGAATCCTTAAGCAGAGAGTTTGATTCCTGTGTCTTAGGTTTAATGAAAGTGTAATTTCAGGGGCTGGATTCCTGGCTGAGTTCCAACCACCCTAACCTTAGTCCAGTTTGATCTGGGGCTCTTGTGCTCACCCCCTGAAAGTCCTGAGAGGGTTGGAAGAGGATTTTGTAATGATGCCTTCTCTCAGAGTTAGTGTTGTGAAATCTTTAAGGGATCTTCTGTCTGTGTGGGAGAAGGAATAGAACCTAGTACCTCGAGTTCATAAGATACTGGGAAGTTGACTCATGGTCAAGATCGAGGGCTCAGCCCTGGCTGGCGTGATTCAGCTGGTTGAAGCGTCATCCTATAACCAAAAAGCTGCAGGTTCGATTCCCAGTCAGGGCATATACCTAGATTGCAGGTCCCATCTCCCTTCAGGGCACACTTACAGAGGGCAACTAATCAATGTTTCTCTCTCGCATCATTTTTTTCCTCTCTCTCTCCCTTCTTCTCTCTCTAAAAGTGATGGAAAACTGTCCTTGGATGAGGATTAAAAAAAAGTGCCTAGGTTGCAAACTCAAATACTGTACCTGCTAGGGTCTGAAGTTCTCTTTTCTTAAAAAAAGTAAAAAATCTCTATTTTTAAATATAAGAAATCACTTTATATTAAAGCATTAATCTGTTTTGCTTTAATATGCAGATCTCGGAGCTTGGTCTGGCTTGTGGTCAGCAGTTTGCTAGCCATGGTCTGAGGTTTAGATGAAAAAAGTACATGTGTGATATTCTCAGAAGGCAACACGACGCTCACGGTTACAAACGTTATGTGCCAAGTACCCTGCAAGCACTCAACTTACCTCTGACTATCCTCACAATAGCCCTAATGGTTACCTAGTATCGTCTGCCTATTTCACAAGTGTGGACATTCAGTGGCACAGGTTAGGAAACTTGCCCAAGTTTAGAGCTAGCTAAGAGTCCATATGCTTGACCAGACTATATGTACAGTATCTGATTTAGAATCCAAAGTTACAGGCGGTCATTTTTTTAACTGTCTTCTACTAATTTTCCTTAGTAAATGTTTAAGGCTAATGCCTTTAATAATAATAAAAACAATATTAACAATAACAATAATAGTAGTTATTGTTATTGAATTAAGCTAACGGTTCCTTGAGTTGAGAAGAACAGTAGGCCTGGACCGAGCGTAGATAGCAAACTCCGAGGTGGAAACAGTGGGCCGCAGTCCAGCGCTGCTTTTCCTCAGCTGTGTGAGTTGTGTGAGGCAAACCTTTTAAGCTCCCGTCACACTTCTTTGCTTATTGTTCTGGCAAGTGAGTGAGGCAGGTTTTCTATCCCAATTTTGTGGGTGAGAAACTGAAGCTCAAAACGACTCACACAAGTGCCAGGTTCTGTAAGTCTTCAGCGTGGGGGTGGGGGGGAGCCAGTGTGACCCCCACACAACCTGAAGCAAATCCCTGGCCTCTGAAAGCGAGCGACCAGCCCCATCCTACACACTAAGCATCAGGAGGACCAAAGAAAATGCACACGGTAAGAGCCTGCAAAGTCATGGGCACATATGTTGGCTGTTTCCGTGATCATTATTACCTGCTAATTATATTCCTTTTCTTACCTGTAAGAAAATGGTGACCTACACGAGAAAGGTGGTTTGCTGTGATGAAAACTTTCTTGGCACTCAAGCAAGTGCTACTATATCATTCCGCCTCCCGAGTCAGTCAACCTAGGTGGTGAATTGCTAGAATGGACTATCCAAATGGCAGACACAGACAAACTAGAACAATATAAAAAGTATTCCTAATCTATCTCCACCCGAGCATTCAGGACAGCCAAGCGTCATGGTGAAAGGTTGGCAAGTAAACATGCAAATCACACATTCTCTTGGAGACCCATTGGATTCCTGCCCTTTCCCCCAAATGGAGTTGCTCTCTTTTCCCCTTCGCACTCGGAAATTTAGCCTGTGAGGAAACACGAACTGCGAGGATCGGAGCTTTCTAAACGAGCTCCAATTGGGATCATCATCATAAACTGAGCAAGAGGCACTGAGAACTGAGTGAACAGAAGGAGCTTACTTCAAAGACCAGCGTCTCATTAGTGGGTCCCGGTGCGTACAGACGTTCGGGGCGGTTAAAGGCGCGCTGGTACTCAAACACGGTCCCCGCGAAGAGGAACTCCCCAGGCCAGTCGATGCTCCAGCCCCCGGTTAGGTAGTACTTTCGATGGAGGTTTCGGACCGCGAGGTAACTGGAGGATGTCTGCAGTTCCTGGACTTCGATGCTCCGGGCGCCTGCCGGGATGGTGACTACCGGATAGTACTCTGGGTGGAAACGAGAGGACATTGCTGTTTTCCAGCCAAGGTGGCTAGAAGTGCTCAGAGACCTGTAGTGGTCGTTTTTATAGAGTGAGGTTTTTGAATCATTAACTGACATTCCTTTCTACTCTTATGAAGTGAAAATGATCAATTATTTCCTTTCCCAAAGGGTAGGAACACCAGACAGAGAAATCTATGTCACTTTCCCAGGCAGTTGTGTGGGGACAGAGGCTACATGTGAAGGCCAGGAAACTCAAGAATGCTTGTTCTTTTTCATCTATCTACAAGAAAATCATAGCCATGTATTCTCACAGTGATATCTGAAAACCAGGGCTCGAAGTTTAATCTTCTTCAAGATGTTTAGATAATTGCTTCAGATATCCATCTAATACTGCAAGGCTGTATTATCCAAGCTCCATAATAAGTTCTTTGTTTAACAAACAAATGTGGGGTGTGTGCCAGCCTGGATAGCATATTAAAACTGCCTAGCAGGAGGGCATGTGTGCAACACATCTGTGAGATGTGTGTACTGATAGAACTCTTCATCTTAAAAAACCCACCTCTCCTCCCTCGCTCTTGTGGTAGTGCCGAAAGCCATCCTTTTCCATGAGCCAGGTGAGCCAGGTAAAGGCCTGACCACCTTTAGCCTCACCTGAACTTGTTCAGTAGCAAAGGGTGTGTCCCGCCAGCAGTAGCAATGAAATAGCAGCATCTCTTACCGTTTGCTTTATGCTGGTTGAGGTACAGGCCTTTATAAAACTTGCAAGTCGAATTATCACCTTTGCAAACACCACAGGCATCAGAAACTGCTTTAGAGCCAAGTTCATGGTCACATCCCACTGGCTGTGACAAAGGCCAAAAAAGCAAGAAAAATCAAAAGTCAGAGAAGCCAGTGGCTAAGAATAACCGAGAGGTCCATGGTTTTCTGTACTTATAGAACATTAGGAAGGAGGCTCAGCTTTATGGTTAAAAGCACAGTGTCAACTTCAGCTGACTCAGGGTTCAAATCCTTCCTCTGCTATTACTAGGTGCATGTCTAGGCAGTTATGTAACTTATCTAGGCTTAGACTCTTCATCTATAAAACTGGAATAAAAAGTCTCTCTGCTAACAATGGCAGGTGAGCTTATTTGAGTCAGCTCTACCACTGAAACATAAAATGCTGTACAAAACACACGCACGCGTGCACACACACACACACACACACACACCCTGAAGGGATCAAAGATCTTACAGTCAAATTAAAAAAGAAAGTGGGTGCCCAAATAGAAAAGAAAACTAACAGAAAGAAAGAGTAGTACTCTTTCACACACATTTGTGAGGCTCTAATCATATAGTGAATGCACTTAGTGAATACACAATAAAAGTTTTCTGTTATTATTAAGTATCTTAAATAATTTTTACAACTACTATGCAAAGTAGGCTATATTAGGATCTCCGTTCTATTACACAAACATGGAGCAAAAAGGAAACTAAAAAATCATACTGGGGCCACACAGCCAGTAAGTGGGCAACCTGGAGATAGTGCTCACATCCAGTTTGAAGATGTTGCCCTTTAACCCCACGCCACCTGCTTTTCTGCAGACAGAATCTCTTGCCACACTTCTCACATTTGCATTTGATACGAGGAAACACAAAACATGCTCAGACATCCCAAAGCAGAAAGGTTCTCTTACTTCACAAATCCCATCAATACAAACATCATTTTTGTTTGGGGAGCAAGGAGTTCCGTCTTTCACCTTGCTGGACATTGCGAAAAAAAATTCAAAGTTCTCAGCCTTGCAGTACAGTCGACATCGGTCTTCCTCTAGAAGCAAAGAGAGCAGACAGGGCATGGTCAAGAGGAACCACAGGAAAATGACCTGCCCTCCCGAAGGATGGATTAAATTTATTTAGCATGCCAGCAGGGTCCAAATGGAAAGAGTTATTTACAGTTTTGTGTGTGTGGCATATTTGTGCACGTGTGCTTAGGTACGTGGCTTTTAAAAATAGGAGTGCCACTTAGTAATCCATATGAAGCTGCTTCAACATTAATATATGAGAATTTAATTTTTTCTAATCCTTAATAACAGCCATGATGCACACATGGGTTGTACAGTTACTCTCCTTGAACAGTAAATATCTGAAACTTCATAGGCACTACAGTCTGCCATTGCCAACACAGAAGTGAAGGCGTGTTTAAAGTTTCAATAAAACTATATATTTATATTTACTTTTTAAATTTTACTTTTCAATTACAGTCAATATTCAATATTGTTTTACAATAGTTTCAGGTGCTCTGAATAGTGACTAGACAATTATAGAATTTACAAAGTAATCCCACAATTTTTCAGGTACCCACCTGGCCTCATACACAGTTGTCACAATAATATTGACTGCATTCCCTCTGCCGACTCTCCACTCCCATGTCTGCTTTGTAACTGCCAATGTGTGCTTCTTATTTCCTTCCCCCTTTTCACCCAGCTCCCAACCCCCTTCCTCTCTAGCAATTAGTTTGTTCTCTGTATCTGTGAGTGTTTCTGTGTTGTTTGTTCATCTAGTTTTTTCCTTTAGATTCCACATATAGGTGAAATCATATGGTATCTGTCCTTCTCCAACAAAACTTTGTTTTTTAAAAAAGCAGGTCAGATTTGGCCCACAGGCCATCGTTTGCTGACCGGTGATTTAGGACATGGCTTACTATAGATATTTATTCAATCAGTTAGGAGGAAAAAAACTAGGCATTTTGGAATAAAGGCATATATTCAATAGTGTTCATAAAACATACAGAGAAGAATCATATCATGAAAAGGAAGAAGCAGCAAATAAACTGAACCTAAAGGCTAAAAAATTAACTTTTATTGACCATTAAGTTTCTGGTAACACAGGCAAAGAGGAAACAGTACTATGCTTATAGAGCTCTTGTTATCAGAAAGCTGTTACTATGCTAGATTCTCAAATACGACGAGCTCTCCGAAGCTAGCAACTCCAGATGGCATTTCTCACGAGACCTGAAGTGGGCAACGTCGTGATATGCCCAACCACAGTCTTACAATAAACGTATGAACGGTTTGCAAACAGTTGTGCTTCACAAAACCTCTCAATAAAGGACAACGCCAACAATGAGAAAAAAGGTCAATTATTGTGTCCCAAATATGCAGATGTGTAGATGAATTACTTTTTTTTCTCCCACCTAGGGTTTTTTTTAAATAGCAGCTTTATTTAACACCTGCTAAATTTTGCATATGAGATTAGGGAGCTGGAAGTAACAAGTTCTAGAAAATTCCATTTTTCCAGCACAGGTTCCTGAGCAAGTTATGAATTAGTCCATGGGAAACACAGAAGAAAAAAAAGCTCACTACTGTAAGATAAACATGATCTATGGATATGAATAAGGACAAAAATGATCTACAAACAACCCATCCCTTGTTTTTCCCAAACTGCATGGAAGTCACAAGCGCTTCGATCGTGGTCAGTCTTTTCTGATCGTAAGTAAGTGTCAGGAGGAGGAGAGGGACGGACAAGAAGGCCTTCACTTTCCTGCCTCCCCACTGGGCTTGGAGACCCCATGGCTGTGGGCTGTTTGACCCCGTGCAGTCTGCTCTGCGCGGGGCAGGGAGTCGGTCATGCAGCCCGTGCTCAGTGAACATCTGCTGAGTGAAGGAATGACATGGCATGCTCCTTGCTTAGTAAAAACTCCAGTAAAATTGGTGAAAGAACTTCAAAACCAAAAAACATCTTACACGTTATAAAATTCACATGTATTCAAGACGGGGCCTGTTTAAAGGATGGTCATAATCTATTAACAGATTCCATAAACACTGTATTTGAGTGAAAGATGTGGGAAAGGCCAGTGAATATCCAAGAAGACAAAGCAAGGAGCAGAAGGGGGAAATGAAGGGAAGGACAACAGAGTCTCAGAGAAAGAACCATGGATAAGAAACGTGGAATTATGGGAGAGTACAACAAAGAGCAAATAAGTCTTCAAATGTCAGACCTGAAAGCAACTGTAGCTATTCTACTGAATTGTCCACTGGGACCTGCTGGATAATATCCTTCCTAGGAAACCACAGGGTTCGTGATTGAATGCCGCTAGTGATGGAGAGCTTACAGCTCGTAAAGGGGCACACTTCCACTATGGGCAGCTGACATGTGTCTGTTCATTCAGCCCAAGTTATAAAAATTCCTATAGAACCTAGGTTCTTGTGGAGGAAAAGGTAACAAACGACAATATAATATAAATTTATGCACTAGTAAGAGTTTTGAAGAAGAAAGCAGATTAAGCGTTTGAAGACTGATATGAACAAAGGGTATTTCGGACAGGCTAGCAACTAGAATCTCCCTGAGAAGGTGATGCGGCTAGACAGGCCTTAGTCCTTGAATGAATTCTATTTGCTGAAGCGATTTCAAAGAAATCTAAATTCCCTTCTAGTCAATAAAACTCTTCGAAGTTTTGAAGGTAACTAGTGTCTTTTCTACAGGAAATATCTGCACAGATTCCTCATTGCTTCCTACTAAGACAGGGATTTCAGAACTTTCGTGTCTGTTGTTACCTATGTTAGGCACCTGTGACCCAGACACAGACCAGTGCTTTGCGACAGGCTGGGCTGGCGCTGAGTGGAGTCGCGCTACCATCTTTGATTTGGAGGTGTTCCTTGTTATAACGATGTCTCTAATCACATTGGCTGCTCCGTGGTAATGGATAATCTAGGCTCCTTTTGGACTTTTGCACCAGAACAGCCTGCAGTCTTCTCCCCCATGAGTTGTCATTACATTTAGTCTCTCTCCACTTCACACCCATGCAGTTGGGATCCCCATGTTTCCCTTTCCCAGGGGTCGTGGATGAGTTCCCATAAAGCCAGTGAATGGAAACAACGGAAGGAAACAAATGGGAGTGGGTGGCAACTTGCACTACACAGGTAACAGGAAGCACACTCAATTTGTATGTAGAACTGAAATAAACGTTTTGATGCTTGACCAAAAACAAATGAATGTAAAAACAAAATACGGGTCATTACTTTAAGCTATAATAAGTACCGAGAACCTAGTATGAGACTTTTTTATTCATGGGTGGCGGGGTGTGTACACTCAGCAAACAGGCCTTCCCATGCTTGTAACCATCTAACATGTCAGTTACTGAGAGTGGGGTCTCTGTGGGGCATATACGGTTTCATGAGTTTTTGGTCTGGATAATTCATACCAATTTCAATTAACATCCCTGGGAGGCTTAATTGCTGAAATGTCAAAGGTAAGTTTAGAAATGTAAGTGCATCCCAAACACATGGATACTGTGGCTTACAGATGTGGGAGACAAGGGGTGTCTTATGAAAAATTAAGTGTGGAAAAATAAACAAAATCTATGCAACTGAATTAAACTATGGGCCAGGACAGATCTGGGGAACAACGGATAAAAATGGAAAAACTGTCACATCGGCAGCCGTTTCTTCTGGGTTGTGCGTTCACGTTGCTGTCTGCACGGAGACGTGTGGATCTGAGGGGCATAGAGACTGAGTTACCTTCCACTTTTGTGTAGGGCTTCCACTGGTAGAACCATCCACGGAAAGGTTTGCTGTTATATTCTGCACACTGCTGGGCTCGAAAATCCAAGCTGTTTTCATGACAAGGGTTAATATTGCACAACTGATAAATTCGGCTAGAACCCGGACAGAACTTGCCACCGTATTGAGGCCTAAAAAATAAAATGAAAGAACTTTAATGCTAGCAGTCAAAGAGCTCGCTACAGTCTCGGAGGGTACTATACAGAGGGACGAACCAGGTGAGTGTCATCCCAGCGCATACGGTCCACGATGACAGTGGAAGTGTGTAGCATACAACCTATCACATCCCTTCTTGTTTCCATGGCAGACATAACCAATCAGAAGCTTTTGGGAGGGCGCAGAGCCTGATGTGTCCTCAAAATCCCTCTCAGCATAGCCCTCAAGTAGCCACTACTGCTGCTCATCAGTTGGAATTGGCAGGTTAGAGCAAACTTATTTGGCATCTCTGATCCCGTTTCCACATCTGGCAATTTCCTTAAAGACTGTTGAAAGCATACTCTTGACACTCGTCCTGTCACCTTACATGACAGGATATCTGTGAAGGCACCTCCATGTTCCTATTAAGGTAGATGTGTGCTACTCACACATACCCCCATGTGGGCATCAGAGCTCTTCAACTGCAAACCCACACACAGCTCCAGCTTTCCTTGGATTTCTAGGCACTCAGCACCTTCCTACCAGTCACCCTGCCTCTGCTGCTGTGCAGAAATTCAGGACGCCGGGGAGAAGGAGCGGGGAGCCTCATCTGCCATGTTTTCCAGTCCGGCTTTGTCAGTCACTGAGCTGATATTCTGATTGCTGTTTGACTCTTGCGTGTTTTACTGTAATTGTTCCAAAGCTGCAAGGCTGATCATTCCCTCATTCTCATCTGCACAATCACTTTTCAACTTTGCAGGTGGCTCAATCCTTTCCTGCCAAGCACAGTGGGAAATGGATTTCAAGAGTAGAGAATCCCATTAGAACATAAATAATTATGTTCTAATCTAATGGCAAGCTCTTTAAGATCTTAGTAGGCAGGCTGCAAAAACCAGAAAGCAAAATAACGAAAAAAAAAGGAGCACAAATCACACTGCAAATCACCAGTAACATCTTATCCAGCTTAGTCCAGGCACAAAGCAATGTCTTCTTTTCATTCCCACTTTTTCTGTAGTTTTCTCCAACAGCTAAACCCAACGATGGATCTCCTCACACCAAAGCTCAATGCAAACATGTAACGTGAAAGAAGGTTCCAGGTTAATAAATTTATGTGATTAAAATTCCTTGTCTCTTTAGGAAGCACAAGAATGCTATAAAACAGCCCTGGATCTGCTTCAGCATATTTTACCAAACCCTCCAATAACTGCCTGCTAAAATGGATTCAACAGAAACGAGAAGTGCCATATTGCCAGAATGAGATTTTTCTGCTATTTCAAAACATTCTGGAGCAACTACTTAAACATCCCGTAGTCGCTGTGCTAGATCAAACCCCCGAGGACTTCTTAAATCATTATCTAAAAAGCACTTAGAAAAACTTGCAAGTGCCCTCTCACTGTCTTCCTGTTCTTAGTCATCTTTCCAAGGCTTCCTCAGTGTGAGACTCCCTGAGGTTTTACATGTAACCTTAATTCAGACAATTTAAAGGCACTAAAGTGAAAGAGGAACACATGTGTTACTTTTTCAACTCAGAAACTATAATGTGGAAAAGACCTCAGGACTCATATAGCCATCTCACACAACTTGCTGCGTAAAGGCCACACGGCTAGAAGAGAGGCAAGCTGAACCTCTCATCTCTGGACTCTCCAGGGGTCTTTGCCTATTCCGCTCTGCCTGCACCTAACTGAATGCAGCAATAGGACCCAGGCATGGGGGAGGAAGAAAGGAGAGCGCAGTGGTCTCGGGCTGGCCTTTTCCAATGAGGCAGGTCTGGATTTAACTATTCCCTGCCTCTTTCCAGCTTATCTTTAGACAATTTTATCTAACTTCCTAATCTGTAAAGTGGGGGCAATTGTGACAATATTTGTGAAGAATTTAGGGCAGAGTCTAGGGCCCAGTTAGCACAAATAAATCATAACTATTTTTAAATGCTTTCTATTTTTAATGACCAACAAAAATTCGGACATTTCTATCAAATCCTCAAATACAGGCACATTCTTCTGGAGCTATGCACATGAGTGTTCGGATAAGTTAACAGAAAATTCTACTACGACATCCCTTGGTATAATATGTTCTTGAAGATTAAAAATAAAAATATAAACAGAAAGCAAATGTCTAGGCACATGATTTTATGTTTATAATAGACTATTATACAGTATATCCATAATTTGCTTCTGCATAATTTATCAGGTCCTCCCTATAAATGGTTACAATATTGTCTGGCCATCTGATATTAGGGCCACTTGGGGAGCTCTGCTAAATATGCCTGCACCCTCCTGGGCCCTCCCCGACATTCTCCATGAGAACATGGGATGGGGAAGATCCAGAAATCAGGTTTTTAAAGTACACGGGTGATTCTAATAGTCAGCTGAGCCTGGAAATTGCTGGTTGGGAAAAGAGCCAGAGATTTGAATCAATTATTATTCTGATTCTAGTGGCATATTATTCTTTCTCAAATGGACCTGCATTTTAGGGAAGTTCTAGAATACCTTAATTTCTTTCATTTTCAAGATTTTCATTTCACTGTTTTCTTCAACAGAGTTTATAGGAGTTTGACTAGGCTCTCTGAAGTGTAATAATTTAATAGTAAGGGAACCAGGAAAAATGTCAGAGGATTAAGACAGTGGGCCCTTGGTCTCACTCGAACATCACCAGCTTGGTGACCTGGGTGAGGACTGTCACTGTGCTGGCACCCTCTGCTGCCCCATCACCTGCTTGTAGAATAACTGGATTAGACAACAGGTGGCAACTCATGTATCTGTTCTAACCTGACTGGGACCTAATGCTTGGGAAGTGTTTGGAGAAGGTTCCTGAGGGCTCAGTAGAAAATGAAGCTCCATCATTTAAAAGTGTCTGCGGCAGACACGAGAAAAATAAGAAGGGCCGTGTGTACCTGGGACTGGCCGTTCCAGGACCAGATATACTGTAAACTCTCGTGAAGCTGGAAAGCTTGATATAAAGCCATGAATCAGCCAGGAATAATTCATTTTTTATGAAACAAAAATATACTCTGGGAAAGTCATCATCATGTGAAATAAAAAGCTCACACTGCTTTCGCATGAAAAAAATAAAAATGGTTAGGCCGAGGGATGCGAACAGAACAAATGTTTCAACTGAAGGAAGAAAGAAATGAGTAACTTGAAATAGGGAGAAAAAATCCAGCTGTGTTACAACGAAGTGAACTAAGGACAGAGAACAACTTATTCAATCGTCTTGGGATAGCCGATTGCTCACTTGTTTTATTTGTGACTTCAAGCTTAATCAAAGCAAACAGCACCATGATTAGCCTTCATCTTGTTTAAAATTAAAACTGCACCAAGTGGAACTACTTTAGTGATTAATTCTCCTATTAGGCATCTCTAAAGTTGCAATGTGATATTTCCATGAGCAATGCCCTATTCCGACGAGAGCTCTCAAGCCCGCAGACACAGGAGAGGGTTTCACTGAAATCTCGGGGGTGTCATTCATGCACTCTGCCAGCGGGGCTAGTAAATTAGGCAATCTATTTCTTTCTTGGGAAAATATCGAAATGGTCAAATGTTGCAATGTATGAAAACCAGATCCATGAAACATGCTGCAAAAATGAAATATAACATAATGGATTTTAACAATTCCATCGAAGATGAGGGCTCCATTCAAAGCAGAGGAGGGTGGTTTTAGAAATCCGACATACACTGTACAAGTATCACAAACCTCAGCACCACTGTGCATAGTTACTGGGTCTGAGTAGAATAGCCAGTCTTGACTGCGGATGACTGCCCCCTATAGGATATTTGGCAACATCTGGAGACATTTTTCGTTGTCACAATTTGGACACTGTGGGGAGAGAGAGTCATCCTACTGGCATCTAGTGGGGAGAGGCTAGGGATGCTACTAAATATTCTGCTGCATACAGGACCAACCCTGACACCAAAAAAAGTTTCCAGCTTAATACATTAATAGTGCCGAAGCTGAGAAATCCTGCGTTAGCCTGAGATACCCCAAAGAGCACCTAAGAAACCACAGTTAGTGTGTCTCCCCATCCTCCCTTGCATTTTGGAACAAATTGGCCTTTTGATCCAGTTCAGCCTGCTCATTCCCATAAAGTATCATTTGTCTCTCTAAAAATTTGCTTGGGCTCTACTTTCATTATTTATTCTACTTCTCAATCAACCACACTGCAATGTAAATGCAATGTAAATCAATGCAAACATTGATTTATGCAATGTTTGCAACCTGCCAGGCACTTATAAAAGCACTGTTCAAATATTGACTCAGTTGATGGAGGTAGTATCTCTACCCCATTTTTACAAATGAGGAGTCCAGAGCAGCAGAGTACACTGTCCATCGCCCCAGAGCTGGGAAGCGGCAGGTCGGGAGGCAAACCCAGGTTTCTGGGGTGAGGTCTGTGTTCTTAGCTCCCGTGCTGTGCCACCACTGAAGTGATGTTGTAAAATCAACTCCACTATTTTCCAACGCCCCATCACATTCCCCTCACTCCATGCCATCCTCCAAAGTCCGGTTCCTCTCCCATTGCTCCTGAGGGCTGCTCCTCTGATACCCCGTGTTCCTAGTGAGATTTAAGGTGAAAGGGCAAAAACCACATGGACCCCAGAACCTTTGCTGATTGGTCATTGGATGATCCTTAGTGTGTCAGATGTTCTGCAGCTGCGATTTTTCATCCTCCCCAAACTTTCGGAGGTGAGTGCTATCACCTCCATTCCACGTACATGAACACAAGTTCAGAGCTCATGTGATCTTCCCAAAACCATACAGTTAATAAGTGGCAGGCCAAACGTGTGGAATCATATCTTCTTGTCTCCCAGACCTGGGCTCTCTCTGCGAACCGAGCCAATCAGGAAACATACATGCGATCCCTGCAGGAATCAGATCCGATGGCAGCAGCAGCAGAGCCCCTTCTTCCACAGCACAGACAGTAGTCAGACCCCCAGGACTGGACCAGAGGGTGCCCACTGGGGTCACGGGCCAGCTGCAATCCACAGATGTTTTGATTATTCCTCACAGTGGTTTTTTTTAAAGGAAATTGAATTCATCATCAATATTTTAAATATCAGGAAATTTCACACAACTTTTTTTTTAGATTTCTGGTTTCTCTTGAAAAGTCAGGCAGATCTGTCAACCCATGTTGATGGACATTCCTGCAAGGCAGACACCAGCCCACTCTCTCCAGTCGGCCCGTGTGAGAAAGGCACATGGCCCCGCGGCCAAGCCTCTGGGCTCCAGTCTCACACTCAGGTGGTGGGACTTGCAGCCCTTGTTCAGGCTCAGAAAGCGGCTCAGACCACTGCTACCCTTAGGGAGCCCTTGATCACCATATTCTCACGTGGACTAACTCCCTTGCTGGCGTTCCGTTTCTGCCCACCATGGCTCCCCCCGGTGCGCCCCACCTTCACATGCAGCAGTAAAACCCTAGTTGACAGCTATGAACCAGAGACAAGAAGGCCACTCGTAACAACAAAACCGAACCAGCACATTACCGGCGGAAGGTCAATGCCTTACAAACACTGACTTCCTGCGGGAGCCTTACTTGGGGTTGTTGCAGTGTCTCTCTTGGTACTTGACTCCTCCACCGCAAGTGCGGGAACACTCCGACCACTTTGACCAGGCGGACCACTGGCCGTGGACGGGCCGGGGCCCGTGCTCCCCGAACTTCACACACTGGCCTTGCCGACACCACTGGGGAAAGAATATGCGACAGGTCTGCTGTCAGAAACCACCTGGGGAAGGGCAGGGGCATGCAGACACCTGCATGGGAACAGGAAAAACGAGTCTGTTGGCAAGTGGGGGAAGGCAGGATCCCCTGACGGAATTCCTGGGCTGGCTGTGCTGCATAAACAGTGGCTTAGTCTGCAGTGACCATGTGCGCTTTGAAAATCTGACATCTAGAGAGAGGGGTCATCTGTCACCAACCGATGCTTTGTGTGCTGTGGAGGTGAAAGGTTCAGACGGGATCCCACCCAGCAGCCGAGCGAGGCAGAGCAGAAAAATGAGAACAGAGCCTCCCTGGACGACTAGGAACAACGCTGCGTAGACAGCAGTTTGGATCGTGCACTCAAAGGGGACCCGTTTTTAAGACAGTAACAGAACTCATTGTTCTGGATGTTTGTCTCATCATGAAAACAAAGACAACTATGCATACGTTTTTGCTTATTCCACCCATAGAGCATTTCTTATAAAACTCAATAGCTTTCAGGCTACACATACTGTGCTTGTAGACAACACCTTTCTGTGTGTCTAGAAGGTCCCTACTAAAGACCCTCAGGTGACGTGGAACACTGAATGCCTTTTACGGGTTAGCCTTGGGTCTTCCGTTTGTCCATGATCTGCTCAAGCCAGGGAGAGAAGGGTTTTCTGCGCTAACCTTCCCGTATTAGTATCCTGGGTTTCTCAGGTTGTATCTGTCCTTGGGGGTTGCATTAGCCCTGCGAGTGGCTTCTTTCCTGTGGTGCCTTTATTTATGGGCCAGTTCTGCACGACTTCACAGAACTGCATCCTTTTCGGAAGGGCTCTGCAGTCAGATCCAAAGGGCTGGAGTGTGGTCTGCTCCAGGTTCCACTGAGGAGAGGGGTGCCAGGTACAGAATCACGAGGAGATTCGATTTTCAAATCTTCACTTTTCTCCCACGATACGTTTGGCTTGTGGCTGTTGATTGTGTTGCTAGTGCACTTTGTCTAGGTCAACACATTGCTTCCTGTCTTCACATTGTTGCCATAAAACTGATGAATTCTTCTGCTTATAATTTTTCTTTCCCTTGGATTAGCTGCCATTTTGGAGCTTGCACAAAATTGTACAACATGGTTGAAGACTTTGAATGGTGGGGGAGCAACAGGTCATTTGAAGATTTTGTCTATCATAAGTGAAAATCTGACTCTTCCCTACCTGGGGTCCCTGGGTCCTCCTGGACAGGGCTCAGTGGCTGAGACAAAATGACAACAGTAGCCAATGACCGCCACCACAGCTCCAGTTTATGAAGTTGTTTGTGTGTGCCCAGTGGTGCAGGCAGGGGGAGGAGGGAGCCTTTACGAGCAGTATCGAATGCAAACCTCGCACGGCGTGTAGTGGTTAATAACTATTTTCTGGATAAGAGAAATCTAGCAAAAAGAAACTGGTGAACTTGCTCAGTTTCACACATCTACCCAAGTAGCTACACAACTAGCGGAGGCTGGATTTAAACTCAGCAGTCAAAACCCCTGAACAGGACACACAGACTTTTCTCCTCCGAGGCAAATGGCCCACCATATCTGAACTCTGATCTAATTTCTTCCCTCCTCCTTTTTTTAGAAATGTGGTTTTTAAATCTGTTCCAACTCTTCAATTATTTTGACTTTATTTAATTCTACTATTCATCTTAGTACTGACAGTCTCCTCTGGGTTTTTCAGTTTGTAGAGGAATCAGGAATATATAGGAACACATACCCATACATGCAGAGTCCACATGTACACATAAAATTGTACACAGAATGCACAAATATTGGGTTGGCCAAAAAGTCTGGATGGTTTTTCCTATAAAATAAAAGACGCATTGTTCATTTTCATCAATAACTTTATTGATTTGGGTATTTTGAGTATGTCAGTCATCTCTCTAAATGGTATAACATTGATTGTTCTCAACTAATGTCCTGATTTGATCGCTATGAACTTCAACTGGTCGACCAGACCACTGAGTGTCATCCAGCGAGAAATCTCCAGCATGAAACTTTGCAAATCACTTTTAACAGATTTGATAAGTCATAGCACCTTCTCCATACACTGCACAAATCTTCTTTTGTGTGTTTCAGTTGTGTTTTTACCTTGAAATAATGAAACATAATATGCTACAAATATTATGTATTTTCTTTAATATTAAGATGGTTACTCAAAAATTCAGCTGTTTTGATAAGTTTTTTTTAAATGCAATCTGATATGACAGTTGTCACAATACTATCTAACAAAATTGTTTCGAGCAAAATTGAAGACAATTAAGCTCTATTAGAGCCATTTTATGGAAAAAGCAAATGAACTTTTTGGCCAATCCAATATAAAATAGATACACATGTAACTTTTTCTATCCACACAGACGTATCCCTAGCACTGCTCTTAGTTTCAGATTGAACAGCTGTGACTTGGGCAAATGTCTTTTATGACAGAGAGCAAGCACAAGCTTTCTTTCCTTGCACACATAACCTAGGTGAAAGGATGCGGCTCTCACAGCCTCGCACACATACTGAGCATTCGAGGTACAACTATCCCTGAAGCACGGAGGAGGGACTGGAGAAAGACGGGGGAGGATTCAGTGGGTCCCATTTCTGGAGAAATAAACAACACATGGAGTAGCTGCTACTTTGCAAGACCCTCAGGATAAAGCCCCAGTAAGACGTGGCCTGACCTCCTGGAGTTTGCAGTCCAGTACACAGCCAGTTATATCCCCCAGGGAAGGGAGACTCTGAGAACCATCTGTGTGAATGAGGAGTGATTTTACTGGAGTGATGATGGGTGAAATGTATCAAATGCTTTCTACTGAGGGTAGCCTGACAGTTGAGGGCTTTCTCCCAGTGTATATGAGGTCTGTCTGGAAAAAGTCCAGCCATTACTGATATAACAAGAACGGTTTGCACGACATGGTCGTAACCTGGCAGCCAAGGAGAGTGGACTGGAATGTGCACGTGTGGACAATGACAACTTCCCTGTACTAGTCAGTGGGGAAGGGAGATGCCACTGAGTGAGCATATGTACTGTGTAGTAACTGCATTCAAAATGACTGAGCAAGTAGAGCAACAAATCTGCATCAGATTTTGTGTTACACTTGAACATTCCTCTGTGGGAACTACTGGGATGATTCAGAAGGACACAGCTGTGGCCATCTGGTGATTGGCAGCTTCATCAGGACAATGTGCCCATTCACACATCACGTCTTGTGCAGAGTTTCATGGCAAAACATCAAATCACCCAGGTGACTCAGTCCCTCTACAGCCCAGATTTGGCACCCTACAACTTCTTTCTGGCTTTTCCCAAAACTAAAATCTCCTTTGAAAGGGAAGAGATTTCAGACTGTCAATGAGATTCAGGAAAATATGACAGGCAGCTGATGGCAATTGTAAGAACTGCATGAGGTCCCAAGGTGCCTACTGTGAAGGAGACTGAGGCATCACTGTCCTATGTACAATGTTTCCTGTATCTTGTATCTTCTCCGATAAATGTCTCCATTTTTCATAGTACATGGCTGGCCACTTTCTAGACAGACCTTGGTACATCCATAGTCTGGTCTTGTAAAACAGTGGGGTGTGGAAAGCAGTGTTAGGACACCTGCGCTCTAACTCCTGGCAGGGTTTGTCTCGTGTTGTACTAGCCAGAGTCTAACCCAGGGGCACTTTATCCCCCTGGCACTAGATCGCGGGGGTGTTCATGTAACACACCTGAGACCTATGCCAGCGTGCACTTACTTTCCTCACTGATATAATATCAGTCTTTTCTTGTCCATCCCTCTTATGTGTAATGCTGCTGCTTTCTTAAGGACAAAAATACCTGTGACAAGTTTCAAGTTCTCGATTTTGATGCTTTAAAAATACAAATGACTCGAGCAGTAGCTGTGTTTTCAGTCCCTCAGTTAACTCATCGCCGTGTGTCGTCACAGCTGAAGCCCTCCGATGCGGGCTTCCCACCGAGTCCTTACTGGGGTTTCCTCAGACAGATGCATCCAATTAAAACTTGCATGTTAACGCCTCAACTTTTAAATGTTTATTTTCTTTAGAGTTTGAAATTACAAATCTTGTAAGAGGTGCTGAATAAATGACTTAACAAAGCTCAGAAAGCATTTCTTGGCACGTTTAATTGTGTGTGTTCTGTCCTTGCCTCTGCTGTTACTACTCTGTCACTGAGAGTCTCTCATTCCACTGAAGAGCTTCGGTTCCAATTCTGGCGTCCGCCTTGGTGCGGCCACTCATCGCAGTGCGTCCTGTGTGCATGCCTGATCCTCAGTCAGACTCACGTCTCATTCATCTGGGCCTGAATAGCAATGCTGTGCTTACAGAAGGTGTGTTTACAAAGAAAGTTCCAGTTATTGGCTTCTGCACAGGTCTGCTCACTGGATTGTGAGTTCTCGAAGAGACAAAACTGAGTTTTATTCATCTGTGTGCCCCCAGAGCTTTCCGTCTCTGATACGTAGTAGTCAGGAAACTGCTGTGGAACTGAATTAGCTTTCAGTGACCGATTCTTCTGCTCAGGCGTGTGCTGCCCTCGAGAGCCGGGAGCAGAGAGGAGGAAACCCTGTGGCATCACGTGCTCTCTAACCATTCATCGCCCCCCTGTCTTGGTCTCTCAAAGGAACACCCCGATCTGGGTCATTTGCTGTACTTCAATTGCACCTTTCCCTCCAGATTCCACTGGGGAAGGGAAAGAAAAACAGAAACTAATGTGTGAGAGTTCTTCACGCAAAACACAAAAATCTCCCATAATCTTCCCTATTGGGAGCGGTGCACAGGGTGAAAGACGCTGGCCAGCAGGCAGACTTGCCGGTACACTGCGGATGGAGACACGGCTTACCCTCCCACACAGGTCACCACATGTGACGGGACTCTGCGGGGCATGTCACAGGCTCCACGGCAGGTCCTGGGGGTCATGAGTAGGGGCCTTGTGTGGAGAGACGGTCTGTCCTTTGCTACTCAAAGGGCCACCTGCTCTCTGAGGCCTTTCTATGCTGAATCAAGTTTAAAATATGAATAGTAGACAATGAAACCTATGAGCTCATTGAAAGAGAAATATTTTGACCCAAATCTCCATCTAAAAATGGAAAATAAAGGCAAAAAGTAAAAAAAAAATCTTCTTAAAGAATTGAGCCAACTAGGTTACATTAGCACTGAGATTCAGAAGAGCTGCTGGATAACGCTGGCTAATTTGAAGGGAAGTCAGAAAACACACGCAGCTAAGGCGTTCCATTCTGAGGTCACAGCACCAAGCATCCAGGTTCTACGCTCCATCAAGTTTCTAGAACTAAAAAACTACCAAGTATGCAGTTTACCATACTCAAGCCACAAACGGTCCCTTCCGCTGCGGGCATAAACTTGGTCTCACACCTGTGGCCCACTCGATGGCACCAAAGTGACTTGCAGATGTCCTGAAAGGAAAGAAGGAACTCATAAGGACAATGGTACACTAAAAACAAAAATATCCAAAGTTTTTCACACTTCATACATTTTGCGGTGGCCAGAAGGAGGCAGTACCCAGAGAGCAGAGGCATGTGAAGTTGGTAGTAGCCAGGTAATGAGCAGTATGTTCTAACCAATGAAGTTTCTACACTACCCACGTGTCCATGGATGTTTAGGAATGCCTGGGAGGTAACAACAGTTAAGTGAAAGACCATTTGTCTTGAAACTAAGAGATCTGCTTTCTAATAACAACAAAGACAACAGCAATGTAGCAACCAGCAAAGGAGAACTGGCCAAGGCTGATATAAAGCCCAACTCAAACCCTCGTCCTGGAATTCTGGGTTGCATGCCCTAAGGACATGTTATGGAAGCCTTGTCTCGCAGTTTCTTCCTTGTGAAATAGTGATCGCATTAGCACTTGCCCCTACAGGCTTGCTTCCAGGATAAATAATATAAATAATCACTGTCATTACCTTCTTTATCTTTTATTAATTTTCAACCATTGATACAATTTAATTCTCACACTAGACCAACTAAATAAACTCCCATGCTAGACTGTAGTAGGCAGAATAATGCAACCCCCCCACCAGAAGCTCATCCTCCTAATCCCTAGGAACTGAATATGTGAGGTTATACAGCAAAGAAGAATTAACATTGCAGATAGAATTACAGTTGCCACCCTGGCTGGTGTGGCTCAGTGGATGGAGCGCCAGCCTGCAAACCAAAGGGTCACTGGTTCGTTTCCCAGTCAGGGCACAGGCCTGGGTTGTAGGCCAGGTCTCCAGTGGGGGGTGCATGAGAGGCAACCACACATTGATGTTTCTCTCCCTCTTTTTCTCCCTCCTTTCCCCTCTCTCTGAAGATAAATAAATAAAATCTGAAAAAAGAAAGAATTAAGATTGCTAATCAGTTCACCTTGAGGTGTGGAGACTATCTGAAATTTCCCAGAAGGGCCCAAGGTAGTCATAAGGGTCCTTAAAGGGGGAAGAGGAAGACAGAAGAGAACAGGGGAGATGACAGTGTGAGGGAGACTTGGGGATGTCACTGCCCTTGAAGATGGAGAAAGAGTCCAGGCCCCAAGGAGTTCAGGAGGCCTCTGGAGGCTCGGGCAGGAAAGGAAGTGGCTTCTCTTCTAGAGCCTCCAGAGGGAGCACAGCCCTGCCAGCACCTGCTCTGAGCCCAGGGAGACTCGTGTCAGGTCAGATGTCTGCCTCCAGACCCACAAAAAACCGAATGTGTGTGGTTTTAACCCACTAAGACCATGGGACTTTATCACAGCAGCTGCAGGAAACTAATACTGTTACTGACACCATTTAGCGCTGGATGCTAAAGCAGTTCCCCATAAACACTCACTTGGATGAGGACACTGAGGAAGCTACGGACTCATCCACTGCAGGGAAGTCACACAGCTGGGAAGTGGCAAAGCCAGACTCCACTGGCCTGTTCCAGAGTGCAGATCCTTGACCGCTGCTCTGGGCCTGGATTTGCCATCGACAGATGGCAGAAAGTGCTCAATTCTCCAGGCCTCAGTCACCAATCTACAAAGTAAGGGAACTGAACCAGACTCCTTCTAGCTCAGACAGTTGAAGCTGCTCTTCAGAAAGACGTTGCTAATGAAATATCAAAAACCATGAAATGTCAAAGGGACTCCATTCTGCTTGCTGCATTCTATTTACTATGATAGAAGTGTGAACACATGCATTTTGGGATAAATATTAACAACCAAAGAGGAAACAAAATGATTTGTATGGTCACTTGTAACCCTGAGAATTTGATTAAGGAGGCACCCAACTCCCCAAGCAGTTCAGCTAATACAGACTCCGTGGTGAGAAAACATGGCAAGAACATGCTTAGAAATATTCCACCAAAAGTTTTCCACAGGACTGAGGAAAGAAAATGCAGGGAAACCAGAGACAGGGGCAGCAAGCCTGCTCTTGCAGACCATCACATCCGGGCGCCCACCTCGAGGAAGCTGGAAGCACATTCAGGACACGGCTTGCACCGCACACACCATTTCCAGAGCTCCAAACAGCTCAGAGGACACGGTGTGTACATGTTTCCCAAGGAAGTGGATCTGCCACTGGCATTAGTGAAAAGCACAAGGCAGCTGCAAACACCTCAGGTCCCCGTCTCTGTGCACCACCCTATGCTGCCACCCTGGGTCTGAGGGGGACAAGTTCATGGGGAAAAGAGCAGTCTCCATCAACATGGAAGAGTGGATGTAACCGCTGAAACAATGAAAGCCACAGTGAGAAAGGCTTTCAGAATTAAATTGTTTTCCTTCTTACAGCCAGAAGAAAGCTATAACGCATACCCTTTGCCTATGTGGCAGCCACCAGAATGACTCCAGGGCAGACCGGAGTGGAGAGGCAACCGGAGTTGATTCCATAGTCAATGCCAAGCCACAGGCTAAGGGAAAGGGGCAGCTGGAGAAGACCAGGAAAATAAAGCAAAACACGAAGCACAGGGACTCCAGAGTGAAACAGGGCAGGCTGTGCGAACATGTTATTTCTTTTGCGGTGAAGTACAGAAGTCACACGTAATTATAGCCAAGTACATGCTCCCTTTCAAAGCAAGCAGAAATGAGAGTTTGCAGTTTTTTGCTGGTTCTTCCCTCTTTTTTTCCCAGCATATTCAACTAACTTTTCCTTATCTATAATTCCCTAGACTTAAGTCATAATTTAAGGGAAAAAGAGAGACCCACAGAGACTTCAAGGTCTCCTGTTGCCTGCATGTGATTTTCGAGAACAGAGTCTCAGTGCCACACATTATTCTGTCCTGTCACCCCTTGGCTGTGTTCTCCAGGTGTATTCCAAAGGACAGATGTCCCTGTAAGTAAAACCTGACATGCTAAAAATGTTAATGGCCCTTGCAAGTCAAATTTTATAAAGCATCTCAAACTTAACACGTCCAAAACAAAATTCTCTGTCTGCGTCTCCCCTCAAACCTCTTGCATGCCCAGCCTTCCCCGGCTCACGTTATGACTCCTCCATACCGCTAGAATCTCGATCAATAAACTGCTGATTCATCTTTGACTCCTTCCTTTCTCCCAGATTAGTCACTCCTATTTCCTTGAGGAGAGATGAGAAGGGGACAGAGGCCAAATCCTCCACTTGATGAAAATGGGAGTGCTGAAAAACGTTTTCCTCGGTTATCACTGAAAACCCAGTAACTAACTACTGAGTATTTGCTGACATGTCAGGTGCGTGCCCGGTGCTGCAGATACTCTCCACCTGCTGGGGCGAGAGGTCTTCATGGACAGCCGTCATACAGTGTCACAAGGTTTTGATGGTGACACGCAGGGTGGAGATGGAGCCCAGGGGAAAGAATGTTTAGATCTCCTTGAGGGGAAAACACTTGAGCTGAATCTTTAACAACAGTGGAAAAATGACTAGATATTTGTCACATGGGTGACCGTGCAGCTTTCTAGATGAAGAGTACGTACATGAAGGTTTGCAGGTAGGAGGAGAACAGGGCATTGTCCTGGTTGGAACACAAGTCCATGGGGAAGTAAATAGAAGCTGAAATGTGATGTAGTGCATTTACTAACTTACAAAGTAGGTGTGATTTAGACTCTAGGAAGTTACTCTTTTTTTTAATCCTCACACAAGGACAGTTTTTCATTGCTTTTACAGAGAGAGAGGAGAGAGAAACATTAGTGCAAGAGAGAAGTACTGATTGGTTGCCTCCCCTATGCACCCAGACCAGGGAACCAAACCTGCAGCCTAGGTATGTGCCCTGACCTGGAATCGAACCCACAACCTTTCAGCTACAGGATGATACTCCAACCAACTGAGCCACAGTGGCCAGGGCTAGGAAGTTACTCTTTATTCTCTGTTCTTTAGTCCCAATGTCCAATTCTTGAAAGGAGAAATATATGCCCATCCTATTATATTCAGCATGCCTTTTCCTTTGAAGGGAACACTTTCTGAGGTGACAGGCCTGAAAATACTCAGGAGAATTCAAATACCTTCCCCATGATTCCCATTCTGCTTCAAACCCTCTTGGTGTGGCTATAAATGAACATTTACCGAGCTCCTGCTATGTGACAGTGGCTGTGCTGGCTCCTGCAGTACAGAGTTCGGGCTGCTCATTCCTCACATAGTAAAATAACCAGCATGGAAGCACTGGTCAGCCCTTCATACAGCTTGGGGCACTCTGGCAAAAAGCACTGAATCACTCACTGCATCAATCAGCATTTAATAAGTACATAATAATCAAATGCAAGTTCTCCCTCCTTTAGGTCTGTCCAAAACTGTGCAACCATTACCCACGACGACTCACTTTCTCAGCACTGTGAAAGGAAACAGATATCCAGCCTGACATGCTGAAGAGACAGTCTGTGAGGCTGGGAGAGGAGGAAAGGCAGGACAGGTGATAACAGTAGCCAGCCCCAGCCCCTTTGACAGGAGGCCACTGTGAGAGGACAGCCAGACCTGACGGTGATGCTGCTACTGGAGACGGAGGCAGCGGCAAGTAGAAAGCCCTCATTATTTATTGAGTGGTGAAGCTACACCAAAAGATTAATCCTCACAAGGACCAGGGAAGAATTATTAGGCTCACCTTACAAATGTGAACATGAGAGCTGAGAACAGTGGAGTCATTTGCCCAGGGTTCTAGGAAGGGGTGGAATAAGGTTTTAGACTCAGGTCTAACTCCAAATGTCAGTGTCCGTGTGTGTGTGTTTGAGCGTGTGTTTCGAATTCAAGATGGTCTAACGCAGTAGCCCCCCATCTTGAGCATGCGTCAGGATGACCTGGAGCCCTCGTGTGAGCACAGACTGGCAGGCCCTATGCCCAAAGGTTCTTATTCTCTAGGCCTGGGAGGAGACCCAAGCATTCGCCTTTCTACCAAGTTCTAGGTGATGCTGATACACTGTACCTGCTGGTTTGAGGGGACACTTTGTTAGACGGAAAACAGGATGACAGCTATTGGGGGGCAGGGAGGAGGGTGGAGGGATTGAGGAAAAAGGAAAAAGGAAAAAGGACTCATGGGCATGGACAACAGTGTGGTGATTGCCGGGGGGACTAAATGGTAGTGGAAAAAAATACAATAAAGATTAAATCGATTTTTTAAATGATCTTTTATTTTTTCCCTTTTTTGTTGCTTCTAAACATTATGTAAAACTGCCCTTCCAGGAGGTATAGAGAAAAAAATAGGCAGTAAGGAGAAAAGATCAGAAAGGGAACATAATGCTGGGCCAGTGAAGACCCCGAAAAGAAACCTCATGTTCTTCTTGGGTTGCCAGAGCTGGTCTAGCCTGTGGAGCCCAATAGGATGAACAGGACCCCTCCTACTTAGGGCCTGGCAGGGACCTATTTATGATCCCCAGAGATGTAGTCGTGTTCATGTTGTAAGTAGGCTTGGGAATAATACCGAAGGCCGCCGATGGCAGGTGGCGGGGGTGGGGGTACATTCCACACTCAGGATCCACCGCCCAGCCCACGTCTCCACCTCACAGTCATCCTCAACGACCTGTCAGATCCCCCCACCCTGCCAGGCTTTCCCATCTCTGTGCCTCTCCTTATTGTTTCCTTTTTTAAAAATACTCACCCCAGGATATATTGACTTACTGATTTTAGAGAGAAGGAAGAGAGAAAGGGAGGGAGGGAGGAGAAGAGAGACAGAGACAAAGACATTGAAAGGTGTGCGCTGCTACGGGGATCAAACCCGCAACCTAGGTACGGGCCTGGCTGGGGACTGAGTGCACAGCTTCGTGGTGTGTGGAACAATGCTCCGACCAACCAAGCTGCCCGGCCAGGGCATGTGCCTTTCCTTATTTCATTCAGTCCTTCAGTCTGGAATTTCTGTTTCTCTTTGTTCTGCTTCCCAGGGAAGACCACAACGCTGAGGTTGTGTCTTTCAAAATATGGCGTTTTTAGAAAAAAGATCTATATTTTAAGAATGCTTGTTTAAGCCCTGCACACTGTCTGACACAGAACATGTACCCCACAAATATTTGTTCAATGTACGATCCTGAAGGAATGACAGTCATTGTGGAAACTTTATATTTCTAAAGAAAATCAACCTCATTACCAATTGTGCATTTACTGCACAATTTATAAATATCTGATTAATGAATAACTTAGTGAATCTTTTAAGAATGAAGTAACCAGGAGACAAATACAGCAACCATTTTCAACAAAGAGAACAGCCACTTAATTCTGCCAAATGCATCAACTTAATGGGCAATTTGAAATAGTTATATATTTATTAATTTATATATATCATATAGGCCCATGATACCATGTACCATGGTACCATGGAGGACACACCAAAATGTATATGTATCAACTTTTCTAATAGTTACGCATTTAAATTGTATGAGAAAAATATGTAATCCCATATCAAACCTGTGATTTAATAGCTATTATTTCCTGGGTCTGAACTTATATTTTTTAAGTGAGTTGTTTTATAGAAAAGCAACAAATGGATAATAAAAAAGAGACACAACATAACTAAGGAAGGTAACTGTTAAGGACTGGATGTTAAAATTAATGACTGAGGGCAAGGAAACACTGGTATTAACTAATGGAGAGGAAGAAGCTTAACATCAGTGTGGCTGATGCATTTTGTTTAGGTACCACATTTAAAAGTTTTGTGACTTTGGGCAAATTAAATACATTCTCTGAGCTCCAGGTCAAAAGTGGTGATAACTCTCACTTCAAAAGTTTTTGTGGAGGTTAAAAAAAAATAATAAAAGAAGTCTAAGTAGAATGCTTTATATGGAGCAGAGACTCACCCAGCAACTGCCGAAGGTGATGGAGGTAAACAGTAAGGAAGTGGTGATACTGGGGGTGGCAGTGGTGCTGCTGGTGGTAATCACGATGGTGGTGGTGCTGTTGGTAATGATGGTTGTGGTGGTGGTGCTGTTGGTAATCATGGTGGTAGTGGTCGTGCTATTGGTGGTGGTGGTCGTGGTGGTGGTGGTGGTGCTGTTGGTGGTGATCGTGATGGTGGTAATGATGATGATGGTGCTGTTGGTGGTGATGATGATGGTGTGATGGTGATGGTGAGTGGGTGGAGAAAGAGGAAGAGGCAGAAAATAAAAGGAGTAGAAAGAGGAATAGTGAGAACAGAAGAAGGAAAATGAGCTATAAAACTCCGTAATTCCCCTGCATCCAGACCTAGGAGTCCATGTTTCTCTTTGAGTACTCGCAATACACCAGCTTAGAAGGGCATCTACTTTCTCAGTGAGGGTGAGGTCATCAGGGATGTGGTTTTGGCCGACTGGAACAGTGTTTCTCCCATTCCTACTCCCTCGACTTCCGCCTTTTCCCATCTACCCTTCCCACAGTATTGAAAGACTTGACAAATACCTTAAGATTGCTCAAGATATACACTGAATTTTACATATCAAAAAAAGTTGGCTGCCATAAAGTACTTTCGAATCATGTAAAAGGCACCTATATGTATTTTGGGGGGGTGATTATTTCAAAAATATCACATTAAAAGAGAACATGAACACAATGATGCGAAAACCAGAGATGAGCAGGAGGTAAAGCTATTGAACGCAGATTTACTACTTGTGACAAAAATCTTTGTCTGCAGCAGAGGAATGTTCTTTCAAGGGTGCAAGTCAGATGTACTAAAACCAGGCATGGTCTAGGGGGATAAGACTGGGTAATTCATCGATGGTAAAATTGCTACTTAATTATCATGCCAAACAACTGCCACCTTTGAGATAACCCAGACTCTAACCCTTGGCCTTAGCAAACTAAATGTTTATACTTCGGTTAGGTATACAGACACATTGCAGGATCTTAATGTGAGTTTCACATCGCAAGCAAACATACCTTCACAAAACCAAGGCTGCATAACTTGGCTTTTGCTCCAAATTGCCACTTGCACTGTGTGTCGGCATCATAAATCTGTCCTGGAAGTTTGTCCGGATATTTATACTGTCCTGTTTGCTTGGGCTCATCCACCAGACACCCAGCCTGCGGTGTACTGCAGTGACAACGCATCCTTATTAATTATCTTGCTTATCTGCAGTCTGCCACTTAAAATAATACACCTCTGAATGCATTCATGTAAAGAAAAGCATGACATGACTAGAGAAATAGATATGCACTTAAAATGAAAATGTATATTTATTCCAAATAGTGAGATTTTTCCTAAGAAGGTGAAATTGATACATCCCTAAGGGATTTCACGTGGTACTGAAGTTAGAGCCCTCCTAGGGACCTGGCTTGGCCTGCTAAGAGATGGGAAAGATCAACACACTCAAAAAAGTTCCCCAATCATCTTGTTCAACAATATCTAACAAATTTTCATTGAGTGCCTACTCTGTGGACAGCATTATGCTAATCACTAAAGGCACAGAGTAAACCAGACAGGGAGAGAGTGTCTATCTTCATAGAGTTGAAAATCATGCTAAATGATTTTTTTTTACAGATAATGGGGTAGTAGTCAAAGATACTTTACCTCAAATGACCTTTACAAGTAAAAAAATGAATAAGGTTTTTGAAAGTAGCCAGGAGAAAAAAACACAGGGGGGCATAAGACAGAGCAATTTCCCTGAAGGACATGCTGACAAAAAAAAAAAAAAAAGGCACTCTTAAAAAAAATCGGTGTTGATGGAAGTGGTATTCCCAGAAAGTGCCTTATCTCCATCGGCTTAGTTAAATATACTGTCTGTGAGAGGTTAAAAACAGCATAGTGGTTACGTGTGACTTCGGAGGTGGATGTATGGGGTCCAAGCCAACCACGCCACTCTTAGACATCTCATTTCTGACAAGGACTCCCAGGAAGGCCGTTACACAGATCAGTAAGAAAAAGGCAGGCGTATAGCACAGCATAGGAAGCATTCAGGGTTAGCCGACACTGTTGCTATCATTATTGTCCAAAAGCGTTTAACTATATCACAAAAATGATGGAAATTCCATCTACAGGGTGGGTCAAAAGTAGCTTTACAGTTGTGAGGATGTGAAACAGAATTTATTTTTGTATTACTATTTACTAATGATTGCATTACTTTCCACATGAACAACTGTGAACCCACTCCTGCCCCACTCTGCATATTGAGTTGACCTGGATTTACGTATAATATTTATTCCCACATGAGATAGAAAAGATCATTTCAGGCCCCAAATCATAGATTTAAAACTGAAAAAATCTATGTGACAAAGCTCATTGTTAGCAAAAGTTTTGTCAAGTTTTCACTGTCCTTTGGGATGTCATTTGTTAGGCATCTCGACATTTAACCAGCTTTGCCGGTGCTGCGCATATTGCTAATTCTGTAAGCACTTGTAAATAATATGCAGTTGTACAGGTAAAAAAAAAAAAGTAGAGTAGCCCCTCTTTTATCTGTGAGAGATACGTTCCAAGACCCCCAGTGGGTGCCTGAAACCACGGATAATAATGAACCTTACATATATATACTATGCTTTTTCCTACATATCCATACCTATGCCAAAGCTTATAAATTAGACACAGTAAGAGAGTAACAACAATAACTAGTAATAATATAGGACAATTTATATCTAGCCATCTCTGGAGGTCATAGAGGAGAAAGAATTGATAAGCACAAATCTTGGGGGTCGTAACAGACGTAAGTGTGAGTCTTATGTCTGCAACTTATCAGCTGTAGGACCTTAAACAACACAATTATCCTCACAAGACTCCACCTCCTCAACTCTAGGATGAGGAGATAATTAAGATTGCTGTGAGGACCAAATGAGGCATCCTGTGGTGAGTATACAGCACAATATTAGGCTTTTAATCTGTTTTTCCAACAATGACAATATCATCATCACCATCACCATCATCATCAGTTTGTCAGCCTTTCTGTTCACCAGAAGGTGCAAAGCTACTCTCACTGCGTATTTGTTTTCACAGCTACGGACCACTGCGGGCTGGCACGCTCCAAACCGGGGAGTGGCCCTGGCTGTGGCCTGTCTTACCTGAGGAATTTCTTGAGATACTGCCGGCTGCACGAAGACCATGAAAACACCCCGTTGTTTCCCGTCAGCGTGGGAGACATGATGTTGCCCTCGGCCTTCCTGCAGGGGTTGCCTTCTCCGTCGTGAATCATGCCGAAGCTGAGGCAGAGCAACAACCGTGACCACAAAGCCTCCCTCGGTGAACACCCCGCTTCCCCAGTTATAACCAGAGGAGGACAATGGTGCGCTGAGAACCAGCGGGCCCAAGTGAGAGGCAGAGCCATCAAGACCGAACAGAAAGGGAAGGACAAAAATGAACTGCCACCCAAAGTGTTGCAAAATCTGTGGGGAAGATTTTAAAGAATTCTGAGTCCTTTGTCAGAGTATATCTTGGCCAGAAAAATCAAAGGATGGTATACCTGCTGTGTATTTTAAGAATGAGGAGATTTTAGTCCAGATTTTTAAGCTAAGCTGAAGTGGTGAGTGAGTCAAATTCTTTTATTTCAAATGGCGACACTTCTTCCTTGCCACCAGTTGTGGAACTGTGGTAAGGAAGTTCAGAGTGAGGAGCAGGTAGGTACAGAGAGAAGCCGGTTGTAAGTTGCTGATAGACTGTTCATTCATAAAGCAAGTGTGACTTATACACTTCTAATGATAGCCTGTTTATTAACTGAAATCACAAACTCTACCATAACCAAACACCCTTAAATCATAAACATCTTTAAAAATTAGTGGGTGACCCCATCTAGTGAAGGCATACAAAGGACTTCTTTTGAATGCATTTTATGAGAAAACTTTGATTAGTCCCATTTTACCACAGCAGGTTCTAGTGATTGTAGTGTAAAAATAACTTTAGGTGTTTTACTCCCTAGGAATCATGTACATTACACCCAAATTGTTCCCAAATCTGCTGACGGGTAGAATAAATATGACAGTAATGTATATACCCATACGTGGTGCATACACCATAAAGGCAGCTAACTTTAGCCATAGTAAAGTTGTAGAGGGTAGGAGAATAACTGTCTTTTGTCATCCCCCCAAAATTCAGTGCACGAGAAAGCTTTTAGTCGTTCTAGGGAGGCAGAGGATAGACACATATCAATTTTATCATTAATTTAGATGGTTCTTAACCTAATTATTTAACGGAGCAGAATTGCCTCTGAAGAATGTCTCTTCATGAGGCAGATACAACTCCTGTAAAAGAAACATGTGATTCTGATGTATTCTTATCAATTGTTATCCTTTGAAGGTAGGCTATACCAAATAATATATTATAATATAATGTAAACTAATAAGTATAAGCATGAATAGGATTCTGTTGGGAGTCACGTCTAAAACTAACCATTTTTCTAGCATTTCCTCTCAATTTATCAGGCAGGCCATACCAGACGGCTGTATACCATGATCTTATCAGTGAACGACCCAGCTAGTTAGAGGTGACAAATTCACAAATAAGTATTTATTAAATTCAACATATACTCAGGGAAAGCATTTTCTCCTCCTCAGCTTTGCCCTATTCAATTCTTCCTTATGCCGCTGAACCAGGAAACTAAGGGGGTTACTCTGGGAGACATCCCCCTAAATATATCGGTGAAAGTCAGAAGCAGAGGGAAATGTCTATATGAAGTACCAGAGGAAAAGAGTAAGAATTGAGGAAATGATCATTAAATTAGCATTTCATGGAGTTTGATGGACATAAGAAAACCAAGTTTAAACTGAATTTTGAACTTAAAAATGTTAAAATTTCTAATTTATTTTGACTTAGCAGCAGTTCAGAAAATACACATTTTCTTTAGCACATGTCAAAAACCATATCAAAATCTCATGAAATGTCTGGTTTAAAATGTACCTCTATAACGTTATGTTACTTAGACCATGAGTATGTATGTTTCATTTTTGTATCTGTTCTTTCTTTTAATTGTGACCATTCTCTCCTCACCCCATCTGGAGGATTTCTTTGTTTTTCCTTACTAAAATGTTGGATTTTGACTTTGGTTAATTGTAACTCATATCCAAGGGTGATTATATTTTTTAATGGCCAGTAATTTGAAAGGTGAGCGACCTGTTCATTTGGACCTGTTCCTTTGAAACAAATTGACACATACGTTTGACATTCAAAGATCATTGTATTTCCTGCTCTATACGAAGGGTCTTGTGCCTAATGGCTATTTCTGAACCACCGCCATTCACAGTAAAATTGGTTCATTCACATCTTTCTAAGAAAGCAGTTTGTATATATATAAAATTCTGGGAAACAGTTAGCTAACAGTAATGGTCAAGATTCAAATTTCCTAGAGATAATGCATTTAGCTCATAACACACCAATGCCGAAATATCAAACATGAATTATAGTTGTGGAAAAGATGGCATTTGCTCTTATTTTTAAGTCAGAAATTAATTGGATGCTCTGAAAATGAGCACTCAATATAAATGCTGAATACGAGGCACACACAGAAACAATCCTAAACTCATATATCCAGAAAGCTTGCCCTTGAACTAGTCCTTTTGCAAAGCAGTATGCGTATACCAATGTAGATGCTGTTGCTCAAATAGTATTTGAAAATTCACCATGGAATGGTATCCACTCCAGATGATATGCCTCATAAAATGAATTCACTTCATTACTCTTGGGTTTATGATACCTCCTTTCTAACTATATTCTCACAAAAGAAAGGTTTACTGCTAGCAGTTAAAAAAATATTAAATGCACACAATGATGCCAACTAAAAGAATATCTGGAATATGCATCAAAAGTTTTAAACCATTAGCATGCCATTATATTCTGGGAAGTTACACATGCCCATGATTACTGCCTTCGTGTAATAAACCATAGGCATCTTCAGCAGAACATGGAAGAAAATAAACAAATGCCTGATTGACTAGAGGAGCCACCAGATAAGCCGCAGTCCATGATACACAGCGCAAGGCTGTGGGGCCACCAAACGAATGCTGTTGAAAAGGAGCAGGGTCAACAATGGCCTTTACGGAGCCCTTCTCATCGTCAGGCGCTATTCAAAGACTTACACAAGATCTACCCAAATTACTCTACTGAGACCAATGCCAATGCATCACCCAACCAGCTTTCATATAAAGTCACTTACTTGTGCCCTGACTCGTGAGCGATGGTGAAGGCCAGGCCAAGCCCTGTGTCCTCGTTGATGGTGCAGCTTCGGTACTTACTGCACATGCCGCTGATGGGGGCGAACCCTGTTGAAATGCCAGTTTCAAATGTTAGTCCACAGGGAGCACACGCAGGTACCTCATCATTTCTTATGTCCTCAAAATGTTCTGTACAATTTTAGTTTAATGCATTCATGGATTTATAGAGGGGGAGGGGCAGGAAAACACTCACTTGTCCAAATAGATAAATGTAGAATTTGATATTTTCTTTTTTCTTATGACATCATCATCAATTGGTCTTCCTCACAACCCTGTTAAGTCGGTCTGAATATCATAATTCTCATTTTACATGTAGGATAGTACATCATTGAATGTTTCTTTGCCTTATCTAAATTTACTATTTGGGTCAGAGCAGCTGCTAAAATGATAGTTAAACCATTGCAAATGTCCACTTAACAGTAGTATTAGCATCAATGCTCAAGGTTTATTTTCTAAGAAAACACACATTCTGTTTTATTTCTAAAGTATATAACATGAAAATGCCTAAATAATGTGAATAGATCAAACTCATTTTTCTCCTGCTCACTATAATGTGATAAATATTCCTGTTTCCCAAAACTACTTCCTCCCAAGAAGAGTCATAAAATCAGTCCTGGATTGCATCTTGAATGACATGATAGTGGTAAGCGTCTTTCCTCCTACATTTGAGTCCCTAATACCAGTGAGTATTAAACACACACTTGTGAATCGACTGCATCCACCTTGCAGTCAAGATGTGAGATTACCAGGGGAACCTAATGCAGTATCATGGGCAGCACTATCACCCCCTCCGCCCCCAGTCAGTACTGATCTACCATCCATTCATTAAAATACTTGTTGAATTCCTACTGCATGCAGTGGAATACACGAGAAAATACGCCACAAATGTAAACGATTTGGTGCTTACTCAATGTCTTGTCCAAATATAGATCTGAGTCCTTCGGTCAAGTAACTTTCTAAAGGAGACACTGCTACCTAGGAACACAGTTAAATACCATGGAGACCAATCAAACTCTCTTCAGCTACCCAGCTCTGCAGTTGTGATGCTTATGAAATAAACCACAGTGCGTCCAGTTAAAGAACTTACCTCAAGCCTCAATGAGCATCAACAGAGCTAATGAAGAAAAACACAGAAACTCCATGCTGAGTTCAGTTAGACAGAACAACATTCACCAGAGGGTTCAGTGAGGATATTCCACAATTTAAATATCAGGTCTCCTTATCAATGATCGTAAGAGCCACCCACCCAATAGAAAGATGCCCTACTGTGTTTTCAGCTAACGGGGCTGTGTATAAAGCATCTGCTCATACCATACCTAGAGTGTCACATGGTTCATTCTTCCAGGAGCAAATATCAAACCCTGTGAGTAAGATGGCATGGTCATGCCTCTTGCCGTTCTTCCCAACGAGGGCAGACTGCCACTGACAAAAGCTGTTCAGAGACTGGTCTGCGTGATGGTTGATCGATAATCCTCCCTACGGGAAACCCACACAAATCAGAGTGTGAATCTGTCACAGAGGTGAGATCGTTGTTGAGTCATTCCATTTCTATAGGCAAACACAGAAACAGCATGTTTCTAGGGAGAGGAAAAAACTCGAGCTAAGGTTGATGACAATTGGTAAAAAAAAAAAAAAGAAAAAAACTAAAAACTATTTTGGGTAAATGCTCACGATGTTTGAAGTAACCACGAAGAGGTTCAGTAGTGTAGTTGATGACCAATTACACTTCTATAACCAATAACCTGGCTGGCTAGGTACATCTTTGTTCATGTCTGACTAGTAACACCTTTACAAAAGTATTATAAGTTTTGGAACATAGTTATAAATTAATGGTGATAAAGTCCAAAGCCTCTTCAACAGAGCCCGAGAAGGTAATGAGTATAGCTTAGTTACTGCTCTCTCAGAATTTCCAGTAAAGGGCTTGGTATATCACAGATTACGATCAATCAACCAACCAATCAAATGAAAACTCATTCAATGGATGAAGAAACAAACAGTTATAAGATTCTACAGGGAAAGGTAGAATTTATCCTCAAAATAATGGTTTGTCAAAATGTTTGCTTAAAATTATTGACTAGGGTCCAGTTCAGGGTTTTTAGAGCGGCTCTCCAGTTAGAGTGAATTAGGCTGCTGCTGGCTTCCGTGTCCTTGAGCGGAGTATAAGTTGGAGGTCAAAGGTGAAGGTGCCTCCCAGACAGCACACACCCTTTCTGCCTTTCGGAAATTCCAAGAACCATTTGGCAAACTGTGAACCTCCGCAGCTCTGCACACCTGGGCAGTGAGGTGGACTTTTGTCCCTGACTCTCTGCTTCGTACGTTCCTTACGGGGGCTATCCACGCAGGTGAAAGGCTGCCGGGGCTTGAACAACTGTCTGCGAATTGGTGATCCCCACCTCAGGAAAACACAGTTTTAACATCGAAACACTGCAAAGCAGTGAGCATCTGCCATTCAGCACTTTATCATAGGTGCTGATTTTATAATTTACCCCCTGCCTTTGGCTTGCACCCCACTGTGATCAGTTCAGGGCAGTGCAACATTCCTCATTTGTCCCTGGAGTGTGCAATGTGATGCTGGAGACAGTCGGTTTACTACAGGGACTTTCTGATGCCTTTTCTCAGTATAGTTTTAAAATGTCCTTTTGCATATACCTGCTGTTACTCAGCATATCCAACTTGTAAAATCCAATGGACCCTTACATTTATTATCAAATGCTCCTTCCTTATGAAGTCTATTTATATTGTCATATATATGATTTATATTTTACATTTGTATTTATAGTATACATGCATATTTAATCATAATTTATGTGTCACTGTATATACCTGCATATATAATTACATTTATATATAAATAATTACTTTGTGATGTTTTAGTTATTTGAATACACAACCCTATTAGATTGTACTTTCCTTGAGGGTAAGGTCAGCATATCTTTGAATTTGAATTTCTAATGACCAGTAAGTACATGACTGGCACATGCTAGGTGTTTAGCAAGTGTATCCTGCATGAAGAAGTAAAGGAAGTTTGCCACTCACAGGTTCTTGTTCCAGAAGAATGAGGCTCACCACCACGATGTTTATGTCACTTCCAATGGTCCCATCTTTAAATAGGCTGGAAACCTGTTGGAGCAATTGAAGTCAGAAATGAAATAAACAAATCTGAAAATTGCCAAAACTGGGGAGGGCAAAAACTGATGAAAAATATTTATATGTATAAGGGCTTTAATTTTACCAAATACATGTGCAATGAAGCCAATTCCCTCAAAACTCAAATTTGTTTCCAGCAAAATCGCATGGCTACGTCTGCTATGGAGCCCACACGAGAGACTCCCCTGCCGTCCAGTGGTTCTGGAGAGCCGGGAGGGCGGGAGTCCCACAGCCTCCCTTACCATGTTCATGACCGTGAGGATGTACGTGGTGACGTTGGCCTTGCCGTGCTTGTCCACCATTTTCTTGTCTGCTACCACGAGGGTCTCCACGTTCAGGCCCTTTTGTGACTTTCCAGCTGATCTTCTGGGCCGCCCTGTGCTCCCGTATTCATCAAACCTGAGATAGGTGTCCTCTGTGGGCGGCTTGGGGGCATCTGCAGCGAATGGAAGAGCATGTGGACGGGGTATCGGTCCACAACATTTGGGTGAGGTAGACAGAAATCTAAACAAGGGGAAGAGAAGGACTATAGAACCAACACTTCACTGAGCTACTGATAAGTGATGCCATCAGTGCCTGCCCTGGGGCTCTGCGCCTAGTTTGTGGTCAAACAAGATTCATTCAGTAGAAGTTTGGATGGATGAATGGGTGGATGGATGGGAGAGGACAGGGGCGAATGGGTGGGTGGGTAGGTGAGTGGGTGGGTGGATGAGTGGGTGGATGAGTGGGTGAATGTGTGGTGTGGGTGGGTGGATGGATTCAGTAACTCAGAAATGCTCCAATGAGTAAACAAAAAGCTACAATTCAAGTGGGTGAAGAAAAAAATCAATTTTGTGAGAATAGTTTTTAAAAATAAAAAATGTTCATTTTATTTTATTACTAAAAAAACTGCAGAAATAGACATCACTCTTTGCATCTGAACTCATAACATGTTACATATTACTTCCTAAATAAAACTTAGAAATATATATCCTGTAGAACACTGTCCATGTCTTATATTCCTGTTTCATCAACACGAACTTTAACATAGCACAAAATGAATGGCCAATCAGGATCTCTGCCCTGATATTGACTTAGTGACACGAGAAACAGCATAGTTTGGTTGATATTTAAAAGCATAAATACTCTGTAACAGGTAAGGTGCAGGCACCCTCTTAACAGAAAGGATACCGGCCACAGCCTGTGGGCAGAGCCCTGGATGTGCCCGCTGGACCAGACACGGTCTCCTTAGTGGACAGACAGGGACAAGTCCAAGGGTGGCTGGGAAGGAAAGGAGCATTTGAAAAGCTCAGGACAGTAACTACGTCAAGTAATAGAGAATTATTTTGGTACTCTAATACCTGGTACAGTTATAATAGTGATGTTTACTCTCTACAGAGTGAAATTAAAAGAGCAGACCATTCAGAGGTAGATGTAAAACCTCAGGTTGGCTACACTGATACGTGACCTTGAGGTTAGTTTTCCTATCTCATTGCCACTGTGAATACCATCACAATTACAGTAACATGACCACTACTATAGACCCATGCCAAATAGATGCCACTAAGAGAGGATATTTCAGTAACACCCCCAACACAAAAACTAACTACAATGGTAAAAACACCGTCTGTCATTATTGCTCCCGATCAATGTCTCAGTGACAGAAGCCCCCGGACCCCCCAGGGGACAAGCACCACGTGGTTGCCCATTCAACTCACTTGCCACTCATGGCTACTGAGCCTTTGCAATGTGGTTGGTGACAGTGGAGAGAGTTAATTTTAGTTTAATTTTAATTTAGAAAGCAATACTTGATTCAGTTACTAAAAAACGTAAGCATGCTTGGAACAACTTGAACATGTAAGTCTACTTTTTCAACCTTAAATTTTATGAAATCTAAATACACATTTTTTTTCTGATGAGAGTTTATCATCTGAGTTGAAACTGTGCTGTAAGTGCAAAACAAATACTAGATTTCTAAAACTTAATACAAAAATAATAATTTGTTCCATTGATGACATGTTAACATACTTTGTATTTTATTGCCTTAATAAAATATATTGTTATATATTAATAAAATTAACTATTTAAAAAATTTTTTGGATGTGGCTATTAGAACAGTTAAAATTCCATTTGGGGTTGGCAGTATCATGTATTTCTACTGGACACTGCTGGTCTAGAGAATGCAGAAGGCTGTGCCCAGGTCAAAAGACCATGCCCAAGGGTCCGATTAATTCACTGACACTGCCCCTCAGGTGCCAACATTCTTGTCTGCTGGGAAGTTTCTCCTTTAAATCCTTAAAAGGAAGGCCCAACCACACCTGAGGATGCAACTCTGATTTCTTTCACTATTGTAAGACTGTGTACTTTTCTCCCGAGCACAGAGATAACACTGGAACCTTTGACTAAAATGTAGGAGGTACTAAAAGAACAAGAACAAAAAAGCAGATAAAAATCTTTCCAGTTTATACCAAAAAATTGAGCATCTATCACGTAGTGTCTGCCTGACAGGGATGATGTCTGGTCCATCTCCAAGACTAATTCCAATTTTAATATGCGAAGCCGGCACACCCAATGGAGCTTGAGAAAACCTATTGAGGGCCCACATATGAACAGAAAAAAAAAGTTTCCTTACATACATTTCTTGCGTCGTCCACAAAAATGCTGCTTTTGCAACCTTTGATGGTGATGCTCTGTTTCTTGACTCTGGTACGTGTGGGGAGTATGTCTTGGGGTGTGACCCGGATAATTCTGGCTGGAGCCCGGGTAGCCATGGTAACGCTGGACCGTCTCCTCAGCGGTCCGTTTGTACAGTATGTGAGGGTGGTGGCCGGCAGGTGAGCTGTAGTTGTGTTCCTGGGCCAGCAGCTGAGGTAATGGTGAGATGAGGAATTCATTTCTTTGTGTCCTTATCAGACCTGACTAAAAAGTCAAACACAAAGGAAACATTAATGATTCCAGGCATGCCTTTTGTATGTGTTGATTTTCAGTAACTGTTTATTGGCTACTTTCTGCATGCGGGCACTATGCTAAATGCTTGACTTGTATCATCTCGTTTTATCTGTACCATTAGCAGTTGCAACTCTTATCACCCCATTTTACAGATGAGGAAACCGAGGCTAAGATACTAAGTGGGAAAGCCAATACTGGCACTGTGGGGGAGGAAAAATAATTTTCCCTCTACCTTTCTAGGCTCTTGGCTGAAATCGCCCCTGTAATAAAAAAACAAATTAACAGGAGAAAAACAAACAAATGTTTAATAACATGTACACTTCCCTTTATACATGGGAGATACCCAGGAACACTGTAATGCCTGGAAATGGCCCAAGCCACCACCTTAAACCTGTTTTATTACAGGGCTGCCTCAGCCAAGAACCTAGAAAGTGTGGGAAGGTGGCAAAATAGAGCCAGAGAGGTCATTCCAGGGGAGCCGCCTGCACATTTTGCTCCTTGAACCTTTGGAAAGTTTGAACTGGACAGCATAACCTTTGGACTGAGCCAAAGCAACACCGCCTTGTAAGTAACTGCTTGTGAAACTAGCAGGAGAGCAGACACCCTGACCACCAGGACTGCCGATTGTGGACTCTCCTTCTGAAGATAGAACGAGTCATCAGCCACGTGCAGCTAAAGAAGGACTCCACCTGCTCACACCGATAGACATGTCTCTCCTTTCTTCCTGCAATCACTTCCCTTTCACGTCTCACAAACACCCCTTGCTTCCCCCCTGGAATCAGCACCCGGCCTGGGCTTCTGCCTGCATCTGCGCCCGGGACTGCAATTCTATAATCCTATACAAACACTTGTGGCCTCTCACTTTGGCTTTTTACTTTTAGGTTAATCAAGGATAAAGAGAAAAATGACTTTCCCTCCCCTACACACTTGTAAGGGAGTCTGCACACACGTCTGTCACTGCGTCTCCTCCGACACACTGACGTGGCTCGCTGGTGCTCCCTGCCTCTGTCTCAGCGTGAACACCACCCCCTCAGACCCTGTTTGAAGCGGGCCTCTCCCCACTTCTAAGTTACCTCGGGCCACAGACGTTTGCTTTAGTCTATCTTCAGTGAAGGAAGCAGACAAAGGGCACCCTGGTCCCCCCCACCTCCGATGCATGATTTCCATGTACCCGACAGTGGCATCCCAGGTGTCTGCCACACAGCAGCAGCCAATCAGTATTTATTAGTCTATAACATTTGTGGAATAAGTTATTGAAAGAGGCTCAGAGTGGAGGGGCACTGAGGGGCTGCCAGCCCCCCCGCCCCTCCCTTCCCAGATGGGGAAACCAGAGTTGGGAAGTGACATGTTCGAATCCACTCAGAACTAAACAGAGAGGTGTGTGAGCCTAGTGTGTTTGTCCCACTACAGGAAGAAAATTATTTTTTTATTGCTTTCTCAAAACAGAACTTTTCACTCTGCTTTGGAGTTGCCTACAATTCTTTAACAGGGAGGAAAAAGAAAGCTCCCGAACTGGTTAGTCCAGTTAAGGCACTTCAGTGTTTGAGCCTTTGATATGACTTCAACCAGTTAGGAAGTTACTAAGGCTGGAGAGCTTTCAAGGATAATGTACTTTTTTTCCCCAAAAAAACATTTAAATCTTTTCACTGTGTTGGGGATTGTAACTGGTGTCCTTTGTCTGCATGCAGCTCAGAAGAGATGAGGGGTTCCACCTGCGCTGCCAGCTGAGATGGGCTCCCGGGTGGCTGTGAGGGTGACACCAGGTCCAAGGTGAGAACAAGGAGGACCATCCGGAGGGGACAAACTCCGATGTCATTATGCCGAGAGCACACCAACACTGGTAATGTCCTCAGGTCTCCCTAAAGTACACCAGTCTAAGAAACTGAAATATAACTTTTTGCCGTCTGCATCTACAGCTGGAGAAATGGTTTAATTGATAACTCGGACAGGCCCTCACATGTGGACACAGACTGAAAAAAGAACGTATGTTCAGGATTCCCTACTGTGGAAGGGGGAAAATCTCATGCTTTGGGAGGAAAAAAAACGAAAATATACACGTCAACAAAAAACTGTGATTTCCCACCCATTCACTGGTACCATTATTGCCACCAACGCCACTCACAACAGAAATATGATTTAGAAGATTTATGTTTTCCACATCCCTATACTGTATACCCAATAATCTTCCTTCAAAAGCCTGAAAAGCCCAGTTAAACTGAATGTAATCAGATACTGTCAATAACCCCAAAGTTTTCACAGCCTGGTGGGGGGGAGGGGGGTCGAAGCTAGTAAGAGCCACCAAGTACTTTGAATTCTGTAATGGGTAAGTGTTCCTTTCATCCTTTCCCTTATCTCTGGGGAAGTTTATAAACCTCTCAGGTGCTCAAGTCCCTGATTTGTAAAAGAGGAATAATAATAGCACTTCCCTTAGAGGATTTTTAGAGGTTAAATGATATTTTAAGTGCTAAGAACAGTACTTGGCACAGAGAAAATACTCAGTACATGTTTATTATTGTGATTACTATATTTGATTATTTGAGGGAACAAAGCAGAGAAGTCATGCCATTTTCCAACTGTGTTTGTATTGCAATTTCCCCCTTCAGCTGGAGCTGAAATTCTGGGAAGCAACATAAATGTTCTTTCTGTTCATTGAGAAAAACAATGAAAAGACTCAACAGGTTTTAAGATCTGAAAAGAGACAGATGAATGAAATTCTTGCAAATGTAACTGGAGATAAAAGCAGAGGAGAAATCATAATTCCTGTTTCTTTTTTAACCTCAGATTGTTGCTCAACCCAAAGATTCTAGGTTTTAGTTTTGACTTGTTTGCTGGGTTGTTCTGACAGGGTAGTCACTAGACCGCTCCTCTTCAATGACACTGCTTGGATGCATGATGTTCACAGGTCAAAACATTTAAATCCAGCTTTCATCCATTCTGAAGACCCAATCTCTTATCCACCGGCTGTTTCCTGAGAATGGGAAGCTTCATGGGGGAAAAATACCCTTGACTGGCTTTAAAGAAATAAATGGATGGTGACTGCTGGGAGAAAAAGAAAAGCAAAGTGGACTTTCTGGAAAATATGCCAGAATGCACCATGAGTGTGGACCGGAGCTCTCAAATTCCACGCCGGCCATCAGTTTAGACAGACAGGTAACGGCCCAACTCCTCCCAGAGAGCGAACACCTGGGCAGATCCCTCCAAGGCTGTTCAACAGCTGCTCACTGAGCACCCAGGGTACATGCAGCTGTGTCCCTGGCAAAGATGTTTATCCAGGTGACCCCTGACCTCAGCCAGGCAGGTAGGGTCTCCGTGTACTCTCAGTGGCATTGGCTTTCTCAGTCACACTGAGAGTGATGGATTAACGGGGGAAGAAAGGTCCAAAATACTTGCTTCAGCAGTTCTGAGAAATGCCTGGCTTTTTTTCCTTCCCTAGCTTGGGACGTTCAGCTCCTTCAAACACTCTGGTAGGCACAAAACAAACTATCCTTTTCTTTCACTTACTAACCAATTCTGGCACCAAAACAGTATCAGCCAACATGGCTTTGACCACGTACAATGGTTTATGCTATTGACACAAAGACAAATCATCTCAGTTCCTTCCTCGATTAACTGTCCTGGTCTAGATTATGCCATTCTGGTGTCACTTAAGAGATATTAATAACACGCTGCTGAAACTCACTTATTTGGCTAATTAATAATATTTCTGTTGAAATCAATTGTTAATTACTTCAACAGCCCAAGTCTCAGGAGACCAGGATACGGCGGCTCACAACTCAACACTGGGTTGTCCAATTGATGTCTGTGTCCATTCTCCGAAGGGCATTTACTTCTAAAAAGCTCTTTTTATTTTTTAAACAACGTGTAAATAGCAAAATGGTTGGCCTGTTTACCATAGCTATTATATAAATTTTAGTATTAATTTCAAAAAATAAATCCACCAATGTTCATATAGTTTTTTAAGCAGTCAAAAATCTATGACTTAACACTTATAAACTAATCCAAGTAGTTTAATCATGACCAATAGACGGCTCTCTCCTTTTCTCCCCACCCCCTGTACTGCCTCCACCAATCAGAAGAGTTGTTCACAGTTTCCTATGCACCAGACAGTGTGCAAAACATTCTCTCTGTGAAATCTCAGACTCTCACAATGTCCTGTTCGATAGGCACTCTCATTAAGCCTTCTGCGTGACACAGCCTCCCCTCCGCCTTAAATACACATCCCATCAGGATTCAAGAAAAGTTCAGGAAACACTGTATTGTACAATTAAAACTTACTAAGAAAGAACTGAATGTATGTGTAAACATTTTTTACAGGTAAATATATGAGGTGAAGAATGTGTTCATTAACTGGATGGGGAACTCTTCCTAATGTAGGTAAATTCAAATCATCACGTTACATACTTTAAATATCTTACAGTTTTGTTCATTATACCTCAGTAGAGCTGGAAAAAAAAGAGAAAGATTCTAGAGAGGATGTGACTTTTTTTGGCAAAGTAGGCTAGCAGCCCAAATAACTGACTCTTAAAGATGAAACACTCATTGGCTGGCTTAACGTTAAGTGCTAACCTGTTAACTCCCTTTTCCTGCCATTTCCTAGGGAAAGGAAGAACACCGAGAGGTACCCAGAAACTCAGACCTTTTGGAAATGAAGGCTGGGGTCAAGTGATGCTAGAATCAGAGCCATCCTTTTGGCTTCCCCTCTCAATTTTCACACCAAAGCGTGGTGTTCAACAGCGTCAGTCACAGAGAAAGCTTCTCCATGCATCTGGAGATCTCGGCTCAGCTGCTGTCTGGAATGTGGCCTGACTGGACATTACTAAGCTAGTCCAGACTCACCCCGCAATGCTCTGGTTTCGCACTTCTACTGCATTGCAAGCACTTGCAGGGCATGGCCAGGCTACTCTGCTTTGCAACAGCCAAGGCCTGTCCTGTATGTCAGAGGCATTCAGCCTATCTTTGGGAGAGGAGTA